CCATCTGGAGGTACCTGGGGGACACCTTCTTACATTAAGGCCAGTTAGAATCCCTGGTGATTGTGGCTACAAAGCAAACCCAGATAGTAATTTGCAACAGTGCAGAAATAGTTGGCTTTTAGTAGAGAAATTAAAAATTTAGAGGAGACAGAGTGACAGAACTGTGGGGGAAACTCTAAGATGATGGGAACAGGGCAATGGAAATTAGAGCTGATTTGTTGAAAACCTGTCATATTTAATGTATGCAGTTTTTCTTCTAGGAGACACTTTACTGCCATCTACTGTAGAATTGTAGAAATAAACCCACAAATGTATGGCATCCCTATAGATGTGGCAACTTCTGCACACAATCTGCACTACTACAGAAAAATCTGGAGCAGTAACGAGCATTTAATTCAATTCTCTATTAGACACTGTGGTGGGCACTTTTCAAATACGGCATTTAACCTGAACAAAATCCTACGAAACAGGTACTTACACTCGTTTTATAGATGAAGAAAATATGAGGACCCTTAGGGCAGGGAGGAAAAGGAGGGCATGGCCCTGAGAGGACAGAGGGGCTGTGTCCCTCTGCTGCTCCTGGAGACCTCACGTGGGCTGTGGCTCCATGGGTGTTACAGCGTCTTTGTGACTTGGTACGTCTAAAATGTTTTATAATAATTTAAGTCACTGTGAAGATTCAGAGAAGCCAAACAGCTTTGATTAGAACCACGGCATTTGCAGTTCTACTAGGTTGCTTCTCTGAAGTGGTTAAATTTAGCACAGAAATCATATTATAAAACCTAGGAATACTTGTTTACATTAGGATTACAGACACAAACTATCTGTAACACTCTGTGTATCTCTTCTACTTGGACAACAGTCTGAATTTCCTATTATAGGTAAGTGATGGAAGGCAGAGATAATTTAGCATCTGGGTCTACTAAATTGGTCAAGATCATTGTTTAGCCTTCACTTATTTCAACAAGGGCTCATTAAACAAACATTTTCTTATGTTAATTCAGTCTGAGGCTTGTGGCTTATAATTACAGTTCCAAGACTTAGGACAAATTTCTTCTGATCTTGAGATGTTCTTTATGCAACAATACTTCTATTAGCTTCTTTGTGGTGGGGAGTGGGAAGGTGGAAGTGGAAATAGAGAATGTAATTATCATTTATTAAGCATCTATTTTGAGTCTGGTGTGGTGCTGAGCAATGTCCTTGTGCTATTCCACTCACTCCTCTTCAATCGTGAGGAATACTGGCACACTTTACAGGAAAAAAGTTTTTTATAATGATGTACCGATTAGTTAGACATACAAGGTCATCAAGGAGTTTTGTTTTTTTGAAGATTTTATTTATTTTTAGAGGGGGGAGGGGGAGGGAGAGAAACATCAATGTGTGGTTGCCTCTCATTCGCCCCTTCACTGGGGACCTGGCCCACAACCCAGGCATGTGCCCTGACTGGGAATCGAACTGATGACCCTTTGGTTCGCAGGCCAGCACTCAATCCCCTGAGCCACACCAGCCAGGGCATTTATTCGGGAATTTATATGCAGGTGGGAGAGAGACAATAAATCAACAAAATAATACTCTAAGAGTTCAGGGGTTAAGAAAATAGGGCAATGGCACAGTGGTAGTGATGGCGGTGGGACAGGCAGAGAGACACTTTAGATTAGGGCAGACATCAGCTAAGATCAAATGGTTTTTAAAAAAAGATTTATTTTTAGAGAGTGGAAGGATGGAGAAAGACAGGGGGAGAAACATTAATGCAAAACAAACATTAATCAGTTGCCCCAACAGGGAACCAAACCTACAACCCAGGAATATGCCCTGACTGGGAATTGGACCAGCGACCTTACTATTTGGGGAACAACACCCAACCAACTCAGCCACACAGTCAGGGCTAAGATCAAGGGTTTTAGACCCATTTTGAGGAGGGAAGAGGGGACTACTTTACTTCAAAGCATTTTAGCTAACTTTTTCCTCAAGTTAGGAAAGGGCCCTGGAAAGACAGCCTCACTAGTAAGCATGTTACCAACAATCAGCCACAGTTGCTAAAGCTCAGTCCCAAGAGAGGAGGAATTCTCTCTCTAGCAGGGGGGTAGGCAAAGACTAATGATTAAACTACTTACTCAAACCCAACTCTAAAGGGAGGATCTGCCAGTGGGTATCTGTAGGCAGTGATGACAAAACTAGACTTTTCAAGAGATTCTCAGTCAGTCTTAATTACAACCACACTTGACAACAGGTGAAACAAAATGAAATTTAAAGACTGAGAGGAAATTAAAATTTCCAAGTATGTCAACCGATAAACCAATCTCCAATTTTCCCAGTACTTTTAGGGCTATAATAATTAACCATACTCTGAAAATCTTTTTTTCCAAAACATATTCCTGTTTCTAATAGGCTCTAACAATGTAATCTTCCCATACTTCTCATGTATAAAATGGGAATATTAGAAATTCAAGTTCATGTTAGGCATTTCAGATATAAGATACTATACAACAGTTCCTTTTATCTAAACCATACTTCTCAACTCCCAGTACTGATAGCATGCAGATGCCATTAGATAGTATGCAATGAAGATTTAAATGAAACTAGGAATTTGGGATAACATTTCCTGAACTCAATTTTTAAAATTTGTAATTAAATAAGAAAGAACAAAAGGCAATTTAAGTATATACTTTCGTAGAATTTATTCATTTGGCATTGCTAAGCAAGTAAACTCAGTTTCATCTCTTTTACCAGCCCTCGAGAGTTTTGATTTAAGCTGCCAAATACGTTCCCAAAAGCTCATCAGCTCAACTTCATTACAGGCACCGCATCTTCGACAAGTTGCCCCCAGGGCCGGGGGTATCTCCAAGGCTGACCTTCCGCAGGGAGGTCTTTTCTGCTGTGAGCAGCTGGCTTCATGGGTCTTTTCATTTAAGCATTACTCAAACTTTCTAAAATGAACGTCAGAGCTGAAAAGGAATTCAGAAGGCAACTCCTCCAGTCTCCTCCTGACCGAACATACACAGAAGTCCAGAGAGGTCCAGAGATCGTATAGTCACTTGCTAACAAAGTCAGGACCAAGAACTAATCCTCTATACAGGGGGCCAAGGAAATTAGGTTTATAAAGGACCTAACAGGTGCCACTTAGCATTTACAGATTCAATCCCAAGGATGCAGTGGCCCTATTTTATAGATGAAACCAACTCAGAATTTAAGTAACGTGCCAAGCAGCCAAGTACTTGACATGGGCAGGAATGAAACCAGTCCTGTTTATGAACATCATGCTCACTTACACTCTAAACATCAAAAACTCCCTGACTTTGGTGCTCCTCAATCTTAAGCTATCCCACTTCGAATCTCTATCAACCCAATATTAAATTCAAAGTAAGTGAGAACTAAGCCATCTATCACACACGGTGTCGGTTGGAGAAGCATACTGCTCAGGCTGTAGGGATATTTCATTTGTTTTAATGTTTTTATTTAAAAAAAAATTAAAGACCTTCATGGCACAACTTCTTCCCAGCACAGTTATGTTTTAGTTATACCAATTACAATACAATTACAACCAATAAACCAAGAGGGAGAGGGGGACTTCTGACTTCAAACTTAAAAATGGGGGGGGGGGGGGGAGCCCACTTAAAACAAAGTTAAAAATTACTTAAAAAACCTTTCAGAGTAATTGCCAACACAACTGTTTTATATTGGCATTCCATTTCCTGCCATCTGATCAATGCAGACACAGGTAGTGCTGAGAAATAAAGTGTCCCAATACAAGGTATACAGATGAGGTAATTTACAACAACAAAGAAGTTGTTACTCTGTAAACCCTTGCCCCCCCCACCCACCCAATTGGGTCTTTTTTTTTTTTTTTTTTTCATGCTTCTGCAGTGACTCCGTAAGTAGCATTTAAAAAACTTCTATTTCTTTTAAAAGGCTCTTGGGTGGCATTTCAGAGTCCTCTGCATTCACCTTCAGTTTCTTGCAAGGTCTGATGCGTGTTAGGAGGTTCATCTGTCTGTAGCTCCCCACATCAGCCTCTGCTACACCTAGATTCTGAGCTACAAGGATGGGGGTGTGAAGTCTTGATTTACAACAACCCTCCTCCCCACCTAAAAAGAAAGAATTTATTAGTCATAAGTGTCCTGTTGAAATCACAATCCAGTGCAAATGTAATCACAAATTGCATCTCTGGCACATCTGGCGCTTTTAGCTTCTGCACAAATTCAACATGGTAACCCCCACAGCATTCTAGGGCATAAAAGGGTCAAGAACAATAAATATCCACTATAAGTGGCCACAAGGAAAAAAACCACCCTGCCACACAGTCAGAATGTTTTCCCTACAGTTGAGAAGCATTGTAAAAGGAGGCTTCAGCTTTCTCTAAAGTTCACCATTATATTCACTAAAGCCATCACCTTGATAAAGTTACTAGAGCCAAGATGGGTTACAAAGTTAGTTAAGTTCATTAAATTCAACTCCTCAAATAATTACATTTACCTATGATGCCCAGGTGAGAAAGGCTTATGAATCTATAAAGGTAGGAGAATGGGGAACTAAGACTTTAGGCTTTAAAATGTTGGAAGAATTTTTCCTAGTCCCCACAAGCAGCTACTGTAATGAAATTAACAGGAAAAAATACAGAGCTGATGGTTTTGCTATTGTGCTTAAAAAACTAGGCTTCCTCAGTGAAGCACCTGATAAACTTAGGTGGTTGGATTACAGTGGAAAATCCACTTTACATACACACAAACACACAAAAACTGGCGACTTTTTCCATCCTCAATCCCTGCATTGCTGAGACACAAAATGAATTTTATGGCAAAGGATCCTTAATCCCCAGAGACGCTTTGGCTTGTGGTGCTTTTTTAAGGCCTCTCTGCCCTGCCCGGTACCATGGGTCGAACGAGGGGTGTATAAAAATGGGGGCTTAGGAAGCCTCCACGGTACAGGGCTGCAGGCCCCTCAGATGTGAACGTGAGACACCCACCCAGCGAGACCTTTACACAGGGAACTTAAATCTAACCTTGATAAATAAAACCAAACGTTTATTTACACCAAAGAATTCCAACACTGGATCTTTCACATATGAAGGACAAAGTATTATATATACACACAGCAAGGGGTGGCAGGGCTGTAACAAGAGAGTTTATAGTTTTCCCATAATTACAGGTCTACCATTTCAGTTTCACTGGAGACAGTGGCTCTGCTCCTACCTCTCAGATACATTTACAAGATTGAGGGGCAGGTCTTCTCACTGGATGGCATGTGAGGATAGGGGAAGATAAGAGGAAAAGAAGGTAGAAAGCTTAAAATGAAACAGTGTGGCCACATCTCCCATTAGCTCTTAAAGCACTGTTAGCATGAAACCCATATAAACAAGGTTTTTTTCTTTTGTAAAAAGCAGTAAGTTATACCCAGTAACTAACTGAATTCAAAATGGCCAAGTCAAAGAAAACTGAAAAAGATTTTGCCTTCCCCCTCCTACCAGCTATATATGTTGGGAGATAAAAGAGGAGAGGACCAAGGTAAAGAGCCTGGAAGGGAAGGTTATTCAAGTTTTAAACTAAACTGAAACTAAACTTATAAGTGAGTTAGCTTTAGGGTCAGGTCAATAAGACATGATTCATACTGAACAGAAGTTTTCAGGACTTGGGGTAGTTTTTCAGCATTTCAATTAACTATTAAGACATATTTCCACTAGATTCACCAGGAGAACCCCACTGAAGCACTTTGGGAGTTAGGTGATGGAAATGACTAGCAGGGTGCTGCTTTCATAGTTGGGTCCCCCTTCCTTCCTACCTCCCTTGAAGAAGCTACATTTTTGTAATCTCTGAAAAACAAAATGAGATACAAACCCCCCAAAGTGTGGGATGGTAGGGGAGCAATGGTGGGCATGGGAAGAAATCTCCACCCAACTGCAGCTGCTGGAATTGAGGCTGGTTTATCTTTGTTCTTTAGTGATGAGGAACTGAATTTGGAAGGGGAGAAAAAAATTTATCTGTGAAATATTCCACTTGCAGGTAATTTTTCAGGGAATCCCCTGAGTTATGAAAAGTTTGAATTAAAAAAAAAAAAAGGAAAAAAGATAAAGAAAATCAGCCTATTATAATTTTTTTTTATGACTGAACTACTATAATTCCACAAGCAACAGTTCAGACACGGTGCTTCTTAAGTATTTCACCCCTCCCCGCCAGGCGCAAGCTGCATCAAGGAGAGAGTGGACTCCTCCACCTCTGCTCAGGCATCAGGAGACATAAGGGGCCATTACTGCTGGGCGCCAGCGGCAGCTGGGACAGGCATCCCGAGGGGGTTGGCAGCAGCAATCACTGGTGAGCCTGCCAGAGGTCCGAGGGGCGAAGGGGTTGGCACTGAAGAAATCCCTGAAAGAAAACAGCTGAGAGTGAGGCAGGGACACCAACCATGGAAATATTAGTCACCAGTTTTTCATAGTACTTACCTCAAAAGTGACACAATAATAATTGTTTACTGAAGGCATCTCCTTCACAGATTTTTACAAATTAAACTAATTTCAAATTAAATTCTTACAAGTTAAATTAAAGTGGCAAGTTCTAATAAATTTAGGAAGTAAAGAAATACATGACTGGCAAGTTTAAGCAGTCTGTCCAAGGTAAAAAGCAAATTGGCAACTATGCTTGGATTCTACCCGAGGCCTATCTAGCACAGCACTGTGCACATTTCCTGCTCTGCAACCTGTAACACAGTGGCCAACAGCCACATGTCACTACTAAGCACTTGAAATGTGACTAGCACAACTAAGAAACTGATTTTTTAATTTTATTCAATTTTAATTAATTTAAATAGCCACATGTGGCCAGTCACTACCATAACTGAACAGCGGAGGGCTAGACTCAAAGCTCATGTGCTTACATCAGCTGCCAGCTAAAATTTCACAACTGCTTAAAGTCCTTTTTTTTTTGTGGGGAAAGGAGCACCCATCTCTAAGCTAACATAGTGTTTAAGAATTTATTTCCATTTCATTTCTTCCACTCATCTAATGATCAGAATTAGAGGACAACTGCTTGTTAACTGTTCTCAATCAGCCAGTTACTCAATTTTCAAAATGTTTTTTGAACAGGCAATGTATTTACATGACTCAAAATACAAAAGGTTTAAAATAAAGTACACAATGAAAAAATCTGCCTTGCCCTGTCACTTGGCCGATTTATGGCACTATTTCTGGGGTATATCCTTACAGAAATACTTAATGCATTTACATGAATATAATATTATAATCATATTTATATAAGAATTATATATAGGAATGTGATTATATATTTTTGCCCACTCCTGGTCCTGGATATGGTTCTGTAGCTTGCTTATTTCATTTCACATTACCTTGGAGTTGGAGCTAGAAAAGAACACAAAACACTCATTCTTTTCTCTGGCCATATAGCATTCCACTGAATGAATGTCTCATAATTCATTTAACCAGTTCCTGAGAGCTGTTGTCGGTGTTTCCGTGTTACAAATAAGGCTACAGCAAATAACTTTGGATAGACATCGTTTTACATATAGGCAGGATATTCAAGAGAATGAATGCCAGAATGCAGCCAGTTCTTCGAAAAACTGCAATAACAGCAATTCTTTGGGGGTGTCTGAGTAAATGCCCTCACCACCCCAAGTGTACCCACACAGATGCTGCCTACACACGTAATTCTGAGAAGAGGCCTATAATTTCTTTTGAATAACTGTGTAGTCTGTACAAAAACTTGCTCTAAGTCACAGAAACTCAACAATAATAAAAAATAATTTCATATAAACCTTTATAATTTACTAAGCACATTATAGTTGCTCTGGAAAAAAAAAAAAATCAAAGAACCATTCTTATACACACATATACCCCATGTACAAACCCCTCCTCTACTTCCCTCAATTTCTTGTTTCTGAGGACCATGTATGTCAACTACTGTCACTCTAAACTAAAATAAAAGGACCCATTTCGTTCTTCATGACTTGTTGGGATGTTCATGTCCCACAGTGAGGAATTTTAGGATTCTGGCCTAGAAGAGCCTGTTGATTGTCTACTCAAGTATACCAAGTGTCAAAAGCATCCTGAAACCCAGTGGAAAGAGTCACACAGGTCAGGCTATCATTATAGAACAAAGGAGACCCACAAGAAACCAGCCAAAAACAGGGACCAAATCAGGCCACAAACACACAGAGAAGGATAACTGACTTCTACCTTTTGTTTTTAGAAATTTAACAAAAGCCCTACTGGTATGGCTCAGGGGGATGGATGTTGTCCTGCAAACTAAAAGGTCGCTGGTCAATTCCAAGGCAAGGGCATGCCTGGGATGCAGACCAGGACCCCAGTTGGGGGCACGCAAGAGGCAACCGCACACAGATGTTTCCTTCCCTCCCTCCCTCCCTCTCTCTAAAGTAAATAAAAATCTTAACTTAAAAAAAAAAAAAGGAAAGAAAGAAGCAAACTCTGGTGGTGTGGTTCAGTGGATTAAGTGCTGGCCTGTGAACCAAAGGATCGCCAGTTCAATTCACAGTCAGAGCCCACGCCTGGGTTTCAGGCCAGGTCCCCAGTAGGGCGGGCACACAAGAAGCAACCGCACACTGATGTTTCTCTCCCTCTCTTTCTCCCTCCCTTATCATCTCTCTAAAAATAAACAAAATCCTTAAAGAATAAGTAAATAAAATTGTTAAAAAAAAAATTTAATAACAAACTGACCTGACATCATATTGGCGCTGCTGACAGGCGTACTGCCTCCTGGCATGCTAGATGAGCCCATTCGAGCCTGGTCCTTAACAACAGTGTCTAGGAAAAAAGAGAAAAATGTTAGGTTCTGTTATGTTTAACAATTGAACTACTGGTCTTAAAGCAGTTGCCCTCATTCTTTGAATTTTATTTACACTTCATGTTATTCCCAGAAGAACTTAAGGTGGCTCCGTCTTCACCATGAATTAGACAAATAACAGAAAACAGAATCATCTTTCCTGTCAAACTAGTAAAGGCAATCTCTTAAATGAAATGGTAGGAAGATGAGGTAATTATCCATGGTAGAACTAATTTAAAGCAAAACCGATTCCATTCGGGTTTAATGAGACAATATAATCTAACTTCACTTAGAGGGTGATATATTATCAAAGTGAACTGATCTTACTGCAGTCCACAACTCAGTGGTCATGCACAGTGCCATATAGGACAAAGCTGTAGGTTGTGCAAGTCAGTACTATTACCACAGACTTCATGTCCGTCTGCTTCAGGTACAGGAGGATGGGCAACAGTATAATCGATGAACTACAAAACCACCCCACTACTCCAAGGAACAATCCAATGTTGAAGCTAACATCAAAGTAAGGATGGGGTGAGTCTATGTGACATCTTCGCCAAGGACAGCACACTTAGCCATACTCACAAACCTAAGTCAAGGTGTTCATACAGTTAAGACTTTCAAGCTGCCTCGGCTCTCTCCAATAAATGATAACCAGAGACAGGACAGATATAGGGCTATGTCTTACAAAACCACTCCAGGCTGTCTAGCCACTGAGAAGTATCACCCACACAGTAAGAAAAGCAGTTACTTAGGAGCAATCATATTAAGTACTCTGTTGGACAAGAATCCTTCCAACAATTCTATAAGACAGCTGCCATTACTGTTGCCATTTGAAGAAGCTGAGGCTCAGGCAAAAAGGCTTTGCCACGAGCTAAGCAGAGCTGGGATTCCAACTCTCTTTTGTAGGGCTTGTGAGTCCAGAGCTTTCTTCACAGCATGTATTCTCTTTTGCCTTGCACAGTCTGCTGGGCAGGCCTGCACAGGCTCTGTGGACTGGACAGCTGGACTCACAGAAATAGGGGTGCTCCATGGCTTCCCTTGCAGTGAGCCGTGACTGGTGATCGTATCGCAGCAGCTTGTCCAGGAAATCCAAGGCCTCAGGGCTGACAAGGTGCTGGTTTTCACTGTGGACAAAGCGTTCCCATCGCTTACGGGAGTGTCTGCAGAGCCAAATGGGGTAATGAGAAATGAACCAAGGTGCAGCGGAGAAGCCCAACATTTCACTCCTAGGTTTTCCTTAGTGTCTGGGAGCCTAGCCACTAGCAAAAAGAGATCAAAACTCGAGAGAGTTTTATAGCACTCTGTCACTGGGGGTACAACCAAGCTAATTGGAGAGACTGAAAACTGCAGAGTTGCACAAAAGAAAATTCTGAGTCCTCACAATTTTACAAAACATAATTCAGTTCCTTTACAGGACTGAATACTTCTGCACACTAAGAAGGATCAGGTGGCTGGGCTAACCAGGCCTCTTTCCCATCCCCACACACATTCCTAGCATCTCTGCCACTTGGCAGCAAAGCCTTTGCATCAGGGAAGTCCACCTCCTGGTAAGTGGTGAATGAATTAGTACTGTGTCTAGCCACTATTTTCAGAGTCCATATTCTGCAGATCAGCCTTGAAGCATGCATTTTCTATTGCTATTTCTTTCACTTAGAGTGGGTTTAGTCATTGGGAAAAGCAACCTAAATCAAGACAATTTGATATTTGAGTCAACTGTAATCCTTCTACTAGAACTGACATTCCATTCATTTTACAGGAATCTTCTGACTACAATCTCCACACACAGACTCCTTTACATAAATCTGGGAAAATGGCCATTCAGTCCATTGTTTTTATCACAGGATTACCCGAGTAGCATCTGTAGCACTGACCCACTGATGCTTCAGCAATGTTGGCAAAGAACCTATTTTTTGAGGATCCAAAGTGTCAATCTACAAAGTGTACCTTAAAGCACTTAAGGCACGGATGCACAGATTTTATTTTATAACTCACCTGCCCAAGATATCATTGAAACGTGGATCTAATTCAATGTTGTATTTGTCAATATAGTCATATAAATCTTCTGTCCCCAGTACCTTGGCTATCCTCACCAACTAGAATTGTAGAAAAGACAAAACCCCATACAAACACGTTACATGATTAAATAATCAATTAACCACGACTGGATTAACAGAAAGGGATCATCATGGCTATAGGCATGAACATTACACCTAATTTACTTCAAATTTCTATACACGGCAGGAATGGATTTCCACATAAAATTCCCTAAATCAGTACTCAATGTGACAGTGTCAAAAAGAAAAAAAAACAATTATAACCTTCCCCTTGAAATGTCTCTCTGATGAAGTCTTATAATTTTCCCCCTCAAAACCCAGCTACAGGTGTCACTTCTTTTGAGAAGCTCCCCTTGTACACTCAGACCACTCATTCCCACAACTGCCTTTTGTACCTTGTCTACAATTCTACTCTCACATTTATAACTGTAACTTATTTCCTTATATGTTTGATTCCGTTACTAGATAGACTATGAGCTACTTGAGAGGCTGAACTAATATTTTTTTAATATATTCCCAATCCTGCATGGCACCTGATAAAAGAGCTGTTGATTTTAACTGATCTTCAAGGGGAAGTGAAGCTAGTATAAAGAATATCATCTGTATTTCTACTGACATCAACTCAATCTGTATAAAGAGACAAAAAAGGATCAAAGAAATACCATATATAAACCAACATGTTGAAGAAAACATTTTCAACTCTAATGAAAACTCGTATTAGGAGATTCTGTTTCACATGTATAATTTAAAATAAAACAAACACAAATGAAAAATACTAGGGGAAAAAACAGTGATTTCAAAAGGCTAAACTGGTAGCTCCCAAAACACCAATATGAGAATCAATGTTGAGTTGGCTGAATAAGCCATGAATTGAAAATTATTCTAGGGCCCCACTCTCTGAGATTCTGAATTAACAGGTCTCAGGTTGGGGTTGGGTGTTTCAGCAAAAATCCACTGCAGTTTCTACTAAGCAGTCAGATCTGGCCATCACTAGGTTAGACCAGTAAACTCCCTAAAGGGAACAACTTATATCACCTGATCATAATTGTCATGTCCATGGAAAAATGGCTCCTTCCGGAAAATCATACTTGCCAGCATACAACCCAAGCTCCACATATCCAAACTATAATCGTACATCTGCATTAAAATAAAAAAAGAAATCAGTTATAAATGAAAAAACAAGAGTAAATTATCTTGTATTTTCAAAATAAAAAATTGCTCTTTATTAAAAAAAAAATCGCTCCACTAAAAAGTCCAAACACCAATAATATCTTCACATATTACTTTTCAATTTTCTATGCATTTCCCGTTTTAAAACAATCTGTATATACTATTTTGAATTACCTTTTCACTCACATAAGAACATCTCAAGTTGTTCGCCTATGGAAACTTTTTAATGTGTAGCATTATTTTATTGCACAAATGTTTCAGAATTTAATCTTTAATTTTCCCATAATAGGATAAATATTAACCTATAAATAATACAAAAATATTTTTATGCATAAAATGTTTGAGCTCATGATTACATTCTCAAGATCCCAATAAAAAAATTTCTAGGCTAATGTCCAAACTTTTTAAGGTATCTGATAACACCTGGGAAGACTGGGCATTAAAGTACTCCCAAGGACTTTGTTTATGTGAGGAGAAGGAGGAGGGCATTTTTATTTTTAGCAGAGGAAAGGTCTTTATATATAGAATACATTTATGAAAATCACAAGAAGGCATTTTTTTAGTTTAGTCCTTAGGCTGGTTAAACCTAGCTTACTACTCTCAAACTAGCTCTAGAGTTTCTAATTAGAAAAAGTTAGCTTTGGTGTAATTTTTTTTCAGTATCAAATGCAGATCAATGGATATTCTACTGACATTATGACAATAAAAATGTAAGTTATGGTAGATAAGCTGAGGTGATCTATATTTTATATTTTACACCTGTATAAAAGAGATGCCATGGATGTGTATAAATGATCTCCTCAAAAGCACAAAATTGTATTTTTCACAAATTATGTACAAAATAAACATAAACCGAAGTTTTATTTGCCTTTCTCTTCTCACCTGATAGTCTACAAGTAGCTCTGGACCTTTGAAGTATCGAGAAGCAACTCGGACATTATATTCTTGGCCAGGATGGTAAAACTCAGCTAAACCCCAGTCTATTAGCCGTAGCTAAAAGGGAAAAAAAAAAGAGAGAGAGAAAGTCATGAGCAATTTTATCTTTCAAGCTACTCGACATGCTGTCTTTAGAGTACTCTTTTAAAAATACAAGCCATGTCACTTTCCATTGAAACCCCTTCAGTGACTACTTATTATACAGGGGTAAGCAAAAGTAGGTTTACAGCTGCCCATATGGAAAAATACACAATACAAAAATCAACTCCGTGTTTTGTGTACTCACAACTATAAACCTTGTTCTGCTCACCCCTGTAGTTAATAGGAAAAACAAACTTGGAGAGCTGTTTAACTTGACATACAGGGTTCTCCATGACTTAATTCTTGTGCTACAGGGAGACTTGCTGAAAGACAATTTCATTCTGTGCTTCTGCAAATTTCTCAAACTGCTCACCTGAATAGTGTCCAGACTACCCAACCTAGACTCCTATTGGTGAACATCTTATCTTTTAAGATATATAAGTTAGCCACTTCACTGGAAGTTTTTTCTAAATTATCAAGTAGAACCATTGCCTTTAGCCCTCCTTGAACCTCAAGTATACTTCTTTAAGAGAACCTATAATACTTAAAAAAACAAAACCCTCACCCAAGGATATGTTTACTGATTTTAGAGAGGAAGAGAAATATCAATGTAAGAGAAACACTGGTTGCCTTCTGTATACACTGTGACAGGATCAAACCTGTAACCTTTTGGTATATAGGCTGATGCTCCAACCAACTGAGCAACCTGGCCAGGGCAAACCCACAACTCTTCTATTGTATTTTTGTTTTCTATCTTTCTTTTTCAAAATGTACTGCAAACTCTTTGAAGGTAGGGACTGTTTCATTTGCCTTTTAATTTTGAAAATTCAACATACTGCCCAGGACACATGAGAAAAATAAAAAATATTTGTTGAGTGAATGAAGAGAAAAAGGACATAAAATGGCCCTTATCAAAATGTATCTTAAAAGTGGAAAGTACTAGCAAGGACAAAAGGCAACCTTATCTGTCCACTGTTCAAAGTATAACTGTGGTTTGAAGTGTCGGTAGTAGGCCTGCAAATGCCTGACTACTCGTCACTGTCTCTCCATAAGTTCACTGTTAACTAGGTACACTGTCCTCCTTGTTTTGGTAAACAAAGGGAACTACAACAAAATGTACAATAAAAAGAATAATAAAAAAATAGTTTACTTTTAGAGAGAGGGGAGGGAGGGAGAATGGGAGGAAAACATTGATATGGGAGAGAAACACTGGCTGCCTCTCTCATGCCCCCAACTGGGAATCTGGCCTGCAACCCAGGCATCCACCCTGACTGGGAATCGAACTGGCGACATTTTGGTTTGCAGGCTGGCACTGAGCCACACCAGCCAGGATGAAAGTATTTCTTTTTTTTTACAGTCTTTCTCTTCAACCCCTTAATAAAAGTGCTCTAGAGCTATCCCTGAGTTTCCTTTCCTATAAAATATTCCCAGATGACTATTTCTGGTCTTGTGGCTTCACACACAACATATGAGCATTTCTCACCTATACTCTCTGGCCCATGTCTCCTATCAGCCATCTTTCCATCTCTGACCACCTAACAAACATCTCAAAGCTAAACTTCTCATTATTCTGTTTCTCCCACAGCCTCCCCTCTTCTTCTCAGTTAAAGGTCATACCATTGATCTTGTCATTCAGGCCAAAAAATTTCACTCTGGACTCCCGTGTCCCTAATACCCCATATCTGCCAACGAACCTTGTTGGCTCTACCATATTCTGACCATTATTATCACTTCCACTCCTACTGCGCTGGTCCCAGCCACCCTGACTGATTTACTGCAATAGCCCCTTCTCCTAGTCAAGCTACTTTCATCTTGCCCTCTATTCTCTACATAGCAACCAGAATACTCCTTTTCAAAAGCTTTGTATTTAAAAATTATTATAAATTCACAGTAATTGGAGATATTATATATCCTTCACCCAGCTTTACATTTCCTCTAAGGGTAACATCTTATATAACTACAGCATAACACCAAAACCAGGAAACTGACATTGGCACAATTCACAGACCTTATTTTTCTCCAATTTTACATGTTGGGGTGTGTGTGTATGTTTGTATATATAGTTCTATGTATATTTATCATGTGCAGATTTTAATAACTCCTACCATAAGATACAGAACTATTTCATCACCAAAGATGTCCCTTGTGCTATTTGTTCTCCACTTTCAAACCTGTGGCAACTCCTGTTCTCTAACTCTATTATTTTGAGAATGTTATTGTAAGTGGAATAATCAGCACAACTTTTTGAGATATTTTTCCCACTTAGCAAGAGATCCAACCAAGTTGTTGCATTATCTTTCCTTTTTATTGCTGAATAATACTCTTCAGTCATAACACTGCATGGTATAAATATACCAGTTTGATTAACCATTCACTCACTGAAGGGCATTTTTCCTCCTCATTTCAACTATTACAAATAAAGACCACCTTCAGCCCTGGCTGGTGTTGCTCAGTGGATAGAGCACTGGCCTGTGAACCAAAGGGTCATTGGTTCAATTTCTAGTCTAGGGCACATGCCTGGGTTACAGGCCAGGTCCCCCGTGGGAGGCGCGTGAGAGGCAACCACACATTGATGTTACTCTCCCTCCCTTCCCCTCTCTCTAGAAATAAAATAAATAAAATCTTTTAAAATTATTTATTTATTTAGAGGAACAGAGGGAGAAAGAGGAGAGAAACATCCATCGGTTGCCTTCCACATACACTCCAAGTGGGACTGATCCCACAAGCCAGGCATATGCCTTGACTGGGATTCAAACCGGTGACCCTTCACTTTATGGGACAATGGGCTCAACCAGCTGAGCCAGAGATGTTTGTCTGGCTTTTAAAGAACCTGAAAAACTATAAAACAATAGTCTGTCACTTTCCAAAATGGCTGTGCCACCTTACATTCCCACCAGTCATGTACGAGAGACTTGAGTTTCTCTGCATGAGATGGAGCAGGGGCAGGGGGGAGAAAGATCTATATGAGAAACATCAACTGGTTGCCTCCTATATATGCACCCCTACCGGGGACCCAAACTCAGGCAAATGCCCTGACTGGTAAGTGAACCCACAACCTTTTGGAGCATGGGATGAAGCTCCAACCAATTAAGCCACCTGGCCAGGGTGACGTGTAGTAACTTTTAAAAATGCAAGTAAGAGCTTGCCAACCCTTTCTTCAAACCCTGCAAAATCTTGCATCTTCAGGCAAAAGGTCTGACAATGATACTTAAAAGTTTTATGTGATCTGGTTCTCTTTACCTCTCTGACACCATTTCCTCCCTATTTCTCAGGTCATTCTAATCCCAGGTCTATCCTTACCACTGTTCCAACAACCCAGGCACATTCCTGCCACAGGGCTTTTGCATCCTCTATCTAGGACACATTTCTTCCCAAGGTTGCATTTCCTGAATATTTCATCCATTTCACAACTGTGCACATTTAATTCTCATAACAACCTGATGGCAATGCAGGGCAAATATTATACCTGTTATACAGGTAAGAAAGAAGAGGCAAATGAGGACAGAGTTACTGTTTTGCCTACTACACTAATCTGTTTCCTTCTTGATAGTATTCTTAGGAATGTGAATAAATAATGGTTTAAACATTCTTATTTGTTAATTCATTCATCGAAGATGGGTTGTACAGTCTAGCAAGCTAATGAAGACATTTGTCAGTCCATCACATTACCTTTCTGTGCTCATGATCAATCATGACATTATGGGGCTTCACATCTCTGTGCATAATTCCCATGCTATGACAATAATCCAGGGCCTGTAAAAGAAATAGGTAGAAAACAATTAGCTTGCTCAAGAGTGATTTTCTAGTCCAAGTTCCTTACTTATTCCTCCATTGTTTCTTTTCTATCCTTGCAGCACCCCTGGGAGTTACAGTTAGGACAATCACTGCTACAGCCATTCTTCAGAAACTTGCTCAAGATCCCAAAGTCAAAATCATGGCCTCTGAATGTTAACTTTTATTCTTACACAGTTGTTACAACATCCTTTCTGTTCAAAAAGACCCAAAGTGTACACCAATTGCATCACTTCCAATTTTTCTCCCTTACTCAAATTTTGGATTATTTTCATAAACATAGACCCCTCCAAAGAAGAGAATTGATCTGTACTACAAAACTGTTATTCATAGACCAATAATTCTTTAGAAGTTAAGAGTTTACAATAGGGGTTGCTAAAACCATGGCCTGTATATGGCCTGTAGCCTTTTTTGGTGAATGTTTGTGTTAATGGAACAGCCATACCTATTTGCATGTTGTATGTGGCTGTTTTCATATTACAACAGCAGAGCTGAGTAGTGTGAGAAAGAACCTATGACCACAAAATCAAACATTTTATTGTTTATCCCTGTAGAGAAGTTTGCCAACTCCTGATTTATGATATCAAATCCAACTTGAAAACCATGTCCAATCTCAAACTAAGGTGAACTGAGTAGCACAACCGTTGGGATTTGCTAATCCCAGCTTTTAAATCATCTGATGTCTTTGGCCAAATTCTTGTCCTTCCTTGAATTCCTATGGTTCCAGGGCTAGGCAAGCATACCCTTAATTTTATGAAGTCCTGCTTGCCACAAGACTACATGAGTCAATGGAAAGATCAAATATCTCTATTGGCACAGTCTCTTCAGGGTACTTCTAAGGTTCAAATGCAGGCTTTACGTCAACCATCATTTAGTAAGAAACTTTAGCCAACTCCTAGCAATTTTCTCATCTATAAAGCTGATATTGTGCCTACTAGGAGCAAGATTTTGGTGATCTCACTTTAGAAATCAAAGTCCACTCTAAACCATCATCTCTAAGCAGAGATTTACATAATCCTTAGGACAATGACCCTTTGACAGCTGAGTTTACTGTTTTACTTGTTCAATTTTAAGTGAAATAAAGTACACCAGAAGCTAGAACACCAGGAGCTATTTTTACAAGTTTAAACAATTTAACTGTTAACTTTCATAGGAGCAAGATGGAAATTAAAAATATTTAAGGGGCCCCAGCTCTCTCCTAAATACCCTTTCCAAAGCATTCTAAAATTATATTCTTAGCAAACCCTATTCTATAACCTTTACATTAGAATTCTGATGTTATTAACTTATTAAAAACTTACATGAAGAGGACCCTTCTTTCAACATATTTTACAAAGAGTCATTTGGGCTATTTAACAATGGGAAGTTCAATCTAAAGATACTTAGTATCCAAGGTTCCCTTACCTTCAGAATCTCATACATGTAAAATCGAATATCATAGTCTGTTAACGTCTGGTATAATTGCTGTTAAAGACAAATGCAACATTTAAGCCATGAGACACTGCTGATGGAAGGCAATTTCTCATCTTCAGTTGTAGTAATTCCAACCAAGACTTGGCTTACTTGCTACGGTTCCAAGATCTTTCTCTACACCAGTCTCTACTTCTCCAACATAACATTCACTTTAAAGAGATACTTTGAATCTTTAACTCCATATGCAAAAGTCAAGAATTACTTTAACTTCTATTTCTGAAACTATAATCCACTGTTGGGAATATACCAATTTATGTAAGCAACATGCATTTGATATACATTTGCAATTGAGTTTGCTTTTCATTTACCTCCAGACCTTCTCATAAAAGGCATTTTGGCAAATACACAGCCTCCTTAGTAGGGAATTACCCCATCTGCAGATCACCAGTGGGTATGCAGATGGCTTGCTGACAACTCTGTCAAGCCAATTTAACAGAATTATTCCTGTCCCAAATTGAAAGTAAATTTTGAACAACTGTTATGTATCCTCTCCAGTTGTCAAAGAGTTATGGTCTTAAAACAAACAAACAAACAAAAAGCACAAATCATTAAATGGTTAGCGATGTCATCTGACATTTTCTTTGAAGTTACTGTTTTGATTCTAAAACAGTTCTTCCTTTTTTCCTTATCTCAGCAAAAGAATTCAACCATTTATCGATACCTAAAATTTTCTGATATTGGACTAGTGGAAAGGTAAGTCAAATACCTTTACAACTTAAAACCCAAGAGAGTGTCCAAATCTTCTATTGTACTAGATTTGAGAATTGTTTGAAGTAGGCTGCTGGATGGGTTGGAAGTCAGAGAGATCTACGGTAGAGGTACGTGTTGTAGCAGAATTTATACCACCCTTACCTACCCATTCCTTTTTAAGACCTAGAGCCAAGAGTTTCTGAGAAATCTAAGGTATAAGCAGACCTCGCTTTTATATCCAGTACATTCCTTCTGAACACTGCCATTTTAAAGTGAAATGCCCTTGCCAGATTTTGTCTAAACACGTTATTACTTTCATTAAATTTGACATCAGTGGAAACTGTTAAGTGAATAGTAAAGATGGTGAGAAGTAAACATATTGGTCATTAAAGAGGGCACACAATAAATCAAAGTGCAAATACCAAGATGTGGAAATTGGCAGTTTGTACAGGAGTATTTCTACCTTAAAATTTAACACTGAAGAAGAAAAGCTCTTTTTAAGCAAGTTAGAAGGAAGCTCTTCTAATGGCATCCCTACAAGGCCTACTACATGGTCTAAAAACCTAACAACTTGAAATGGTTGGTTATATATTATACCTTGAAGTCTGTGTTGTTTACGTGTTCAAAAACCAAGGCAGGGGTTCGTGACTAGGGAAAAGAAAAAGAAAACACACATTAGCAATAGCCCCGGCAGCTTTAATGGGCACAATGTTTGCGGATGCTACGTGGTGAATTTGGCAGTCCTTGCCTCAGTAGTAGGAAACCCTCTATTGCTACAAGCCCTCCCCACTCTGATCATCACCACACTTAGGTCATTTTTGGGATGGATTTCAAACAGAAGACATGGAGCTGAAGTCTCACCAGGCTCTAGGCAGCCCGACAATGCGCCCATCGCCCATCGGCATCGGACCTGAGTTTGCAAAATGGATTAACACATTTCAGTTTCCAGTGCTATCAGTCTCTTAGCCTAGAAGAATAAGAAATAGTCTGTGGGTGGAGGTCTCTTTGAAAGAAAGACCCAAGCTAGTTAAACGCTATAACTGATTAAGTACTTGTAAAGCAGCACTTAGTGGTAGAGTGGGAACAGAGAGAGGCCAGCTGTGCTCTGGGTCAAACACCACCTCAGCCCTGGTGGGCCTTGTTAGCATCTACTATACTCACCACAGGGTCTTTTACAATGTCTGCCAGTGTGATGATGTTGGGACCGCCTCGCAAATTCTCCAAAATCTTTATTTCGCGCTTGATTTTCTTCTTCTTTACTGGCTAAAAGGGTAAAAGTACATTAGTGAAGTAAAGTATTTCAGGGTATTTTGGCAGATAATGTAATACATAAATGGCTTACTTATGAGCTCCTTGAAGGAAGGAAATGTGTCAGACTCATCTCTGAATCCCCTTCTCCTAGCCCTGTGCCAGGCACTCTGTAGGTTACTTAGCAAATGCTGAATTGAAAGAAAAGTTTTCCATTCCAAAGACCAGATCTCCTCTGCAGAATTAGCATTTAATTCCAATCATCAGTCTTAATGTTAACTTTTTATAACTATACAAAGTAGGATTATAAATGGTAATAGTACTAAGGTATACCTCGATAAATCTTTTACCAATTAGGATGAAACATGAGCTTTCTGTTCCTTCCTGTAAGTCTACAAACACCCAACAGAAGTGAGGGAAACAGGACCAAGATCAAGGATGGCCAAACCATCTTTGCGCAGCACACTGTGGGTTAAACGTGGGCCTTGACGTTAAGACTGCCTAATGCGAATCCTACCTTCATTACCTGCTGGTTCTGTACCTATGGGGAAGTTACATAACCAAAGACTTTAATTATGGGTAAAATGATCAAAAAGAGTACCTACCTCATAAGATTGTTTCAAAAACCAAATGAAATATATGAAAAGATCTCAGAATATGACCGGGACACAATATCTGTCTAGCCTCATGATCAGTATTCCCCTCTCTCCATTCTAAAAAGACCACTCTGCAGAGCCCCTTGAGTGTATCTTCCATACAGTCCCCCATTTTCTCCTCACCCATCATTTCCACATCTGTCCTGGGGCAGAAATGCTTTTCATTTTTCTGAGGAGGGCTTTGGTCCAACTGCACCTCCTCCACAAAGCCTTCCTCCTAAATAGTCTAAAGTGCTGGTCCAAAAGAAATATAATGCAAGTCGCATAGGCATTTTAAAAAAAGAGAGACAAAATTAATTTTAGTAATATATTTTATTTAACAAAACATATTCAAAAGCCTTATTTTAACATGTAAATCAATATAAAAAATTACTAATGAGCAATTTTATATTCCTTTTTCTTTTCATACTAAATAAGCCTTTTAAATCTAGTATATTTTATCCTTACAGCATATTTCAGTTTGGACCAGCCACATTTCAGATGTTCAACAGCCACGTGTGACCTGTGTCTACCATGTCAGACCATGCGGCTCTTCCCTAGGGGAGCTAGTCACTTTGGACTACTGACACACTGGATACAATTCTTGAAAATTGTTTTAAGTAACTATCATTTCTTCACTAACAAGATCAGTGGTTATTTCAATGATCAATAACCTGGATTTTTTTTAATACACAGATTCCCAGGATCCTCCTATGTTTGTTGAATCAGAATCTGTAGAGTATTTTTTAAAAACACTGAGCCATGCCCTGACTGGTGTGACTGGGTTGGTTGGGCCTTGTCTTGCAAACTGAAAGGCTGCTGGATTGATTCCTGGTCAGGGCACATGCCTGGGTTGCAGGCCAGGTCCCCGGTTAGGGGTGTGCAGGAGGACCTGATAGATGTTTCTCTGGCACATCCATGCTCCTCTCCCTCCAAAATTAAATCCTCATCCTTACATAATAAAGGTAACAATCTACTAAAAACAAAAGCATGAAATATAACCAAAAATAGAGAAAGTCAGTATTAGACAATCAAATCAGTATTAGACTCAGAGAGAAGACTAAACCTTTATTCCCTTCCTCTTCCACAATCTAGCTGTATGACTCATGTCAAATCACTTCTCTTTCTTTCGTTTCCTGATCTGTCATATAAAGGTAATCTCTATTAATTTCAGAGGACACAATAGAGGTACTGAAGCACTCCAAAAACACTTTCAAATGCTACTTTAAAAAGGCATCACTATTACTTAGAACAAATCTAAATTCCAATATCTCTGAAATTACAATCTCTCTCTTCTTGTACTAACCTTGAGAATTTTAACAACAACTTTTTCATTATTTGTGATGTTGATGGCTTCAAATACTTCACTATATTTACCCCGGCCTAATTTTCGAACCAGCTGGTAGTCATCTTGATTTCTGTGAACAAAGAGTCAAAGTCATAATGATTTCAGAAGTTCAAATTATCAATCACTAATTCAACTTATAAAATTCTATTACCAATAAGAAGAAAAGAAATAAGAGGTACCAGTAAGAATAAAAGAAATAAGAGGTATTTCAAATAATTCCCAAGTTGGTTTCTTTGTATTTCTTTTTAATTGGGCCAATTAAAAATGTGTATGTGTGTGCATGCATGTGCATGCGTGTGTTCCACATCCTAGAATTAGAAAAATGTAAGCCTTTCAATCCTACACTGTTTACATCTTTATTGGCATACCACACACAGACAACTTGTTTTAGGATCTACTACGTATGCTTGCCTCCAACAATAGACAGCTTTCCCTTGGAGAGTAATTTTTATATATTCCTATCTCCCGTTGCCTGGCCCAGTGATGGCGCTTAACAGGAAATAAATACATGTTATAAATATATTTCAATTAAGCACATTTTGGGAGCAGCTGATTTTTAATGGGCGCTTTTTTTTTTGCAGATTAAATGGCTTTCAAATATATAGGCTTGACCTCCCTCCTGTCCATCAAGGCAAGCCCTGAAGGCAGTCCATATAATGGAGTTTTGCAAACTACACTACAGATAATGAACCACAGTTAGTGGGTCCCTTCCTCTACTTTTGCCTGTATTTTTTTTACGACCACTAAACAACATCAGAGGTAAAAATAAATAAATAAGTAAGTAAATAACATGCCAACATTCTCTCTCTGCTTCTCCTTACAACTTAGAGAACTTTTCTCTAAACAATGACAAACATGGTCCATTTAGTAAGGCCTAAATTCTATTTATTCCTGGCTGGAGACACTGAGAATCCAACATGTAACAAGTCAGCCATTCATTTTCCTCAAGCAGCTAAAAAGAAAGTAAATGAACAGAGAAGGCAAAGGTAGAAACAACAATGAACAACTTAATAATCAAGGCAGGTCTAGGGGAAGAGAACTCTTATTTCTGGTTGAGTTCTCCTCCTGTGGGAAGGCACAGAAAACAAAAGCAAGCAACCAGACAGCACCACACCAAAAACTCAAAAGGGGTATTTAGTGCCATTTTAGCAGAACTAAGTGCAAAATACTCAATTTGAATAGAGTAGTTGAAATTTCTGTAAGACACAGAGGTATTCTAGATCCTAAAGCCTGTGATATAAGGAAAATTGTTACATTTATCAATAATGGCAACATTTATTGGTATTGTACCACTGGTTCTTGACACTATCTTTAAAGCACACTGTGCCTTCTCGGGCAGAGGCAACGTACCCAAATATGATTAAAATATACCCACAACAATTTTGGGAGTCTATATTTGTCCACTTACACACTATGGAAGTCACATGTGGACAGATATAAAACGTAGCCTCTAAGTTTTCAAATGGTTTTCTTTTGCATTTGAATGTCAAAATGCTTTTATCACAAAAATGTATGACCTGATCAATTAAATACATATACCATGTTGGAACGAGAAATGCAAACACGCAAATGAGACTGCACGGAGAATCCGGAGGGCAAAGGCAGCTGTTCAGGCACAGCGCAACTGTTCAAGATGGAATTTGGGCTGAATTCCTGTTACACATGCCTAGTCTCATGACAAAGGCAAATGTTTAGGGTTTAATTTTGCTTCTGATTAGAAAGAGGACACCTTTCTGGAGAACTGTTTCATCCTTTAGAATCATGAGAGAACATTCTCTGACCTCAAAAACACTTTATGTAAGAGTTTGGTGTTTTCGATGTCTATTAACTGCAAAGCCCTTAGCTGAAGCAAGTTGACAGGTAACTCTTGGTTATCAGCTTTGTATAGAGAATATATAAATCAGAGGAAAGACGACTGAAATGTTTCCTAAATAAGCCCATCAAAACTGTTAATTTGTCAAAGCAATACCTTGCTTCTTCATTGAAGAAGAAAACTCAAATCAGACTTCAATCTTGAGGCTTATAAATGCACAGCCAGAGAGGTTTCCTGACATAAATTACTCAACAAATCCACAAGAGTCAAGCCCTTTGGGTGAGTATAGTGAAGTAAAAGGAAACAATTACCCCCATTCCACCACATGTGACTCGTAATCCCAGTACTCCCGGGGTCTGTGCGTATTAACATCTGTGTAAACTCTGGCCCTGCTTGGCACGGGTCCCGACATGTCAGACAGGTTGGCGAACAAAGCTGAACTTGATGTTTGGAGATCTGGCGGTCACCGTGTCCAGAGGCAGCTGGGAGTGAGGGGTATAAGACTTTGTTTCAGAATGCTTTTCTTCAAACTGCAAAACAAAATGCACAAGGGCCCAGGAATCATTTTTTAAAAGCATACAGGAAGAAAGAAAAATCAACTTACAACAATGGCTTTAAATTTACCTTTGGCTCGCCTACCTATTAAATCAAAGAATATATACCAATGCTGTTAGTGTTTCCCTTAGCATACAACAACACCTATTATTAGCCCAAACACTATTCTGCAAAGTAACTTGTTACCTCCTCAGCTAAAGTTTGGATAGCCTGGAAGGGAAAAATGGCATTGAGAATAGATCCAGCATTACTACTATTTATACATTCTACAGAAAGTTGCCAAAAACAGTACTTTTCTTTTTGCAGCTTTCTACAACTGAAAGGCTCTGGAATGGTGGCAAAGCAAAGAGTACAAACCACCAGTCCAACTCTAATTAATTTGACAAAACAAAGAAGGAAATATAGACTTGTTCCCACACATCAAAGTTCAATATCATTTTATATGGATCCAAACCATTTGGGGAATCTTACGTAATTATCAGTTGACCCTGACCACTATTTGAAAGATACACTTGATTGCATTAAATTTAAAAATAAAACCTAGTAATTTCCCCTTAATTTATTTAGTATAGGTACAAGTTTAATAAAAACTGATAGAAAACAGTAAGCTGAACTAATGCAAAATTTAAAAAAAAGTCCATGAAATTTTGAGAAATATGCTTTCTACTAAACTGGTAAACTAAGTCTCCTTTATGATGTCTTCCTTAAACATTCTCTGAGATTCCTATAGCATTTGTTGATTTCTGTTACTCTGTATTTAATTACAAATGTATTGAGTCTCCAGAGATCAAAACCTGAGGAGGACACATCATCATCTATGCAGTTTTCTCATTAAGACTTTGTAACCACAATCTAAATACAAGGAAACACTGGACAAACAAAAAACGAGGAAGATTCTGTTTAAAGTGTGTGTGTGGGACATACAATGTGCTCTTCAAAAACATCAATATTATAACAGACAAAGGAAGGCTAAAAAAACAAGATGACTAAATACATGACCTACCCTATCCTGAACGGGAGGGGGGGTGGGAAATGCTATTAAAAGACAATACTATCAAGATCAAATGACAAAACTGGAACTTAGATGGTAAGTAAGGTATACTCAAGAGTATACTCACTCTGGCCCTGGCTGGGTGGCTCAGTTGGTTAGAGCGTCGACCCATATGCCAAGGCTGCAGCAGGTTTGATCCCTGGTCAGGGCACATACAAGAAGCAACCAATGAATGCATAAACAAGTGGAACAATATATCAGTGTTTCTCTTCCTCTCTAAAAATCAATTAAAAAAAAAGAGTATAAACTCACATATGATAAAGCAAATGTGGTAAAATGTTACAATAGGTAAATCTGGGTAAAGGAAATACAAATATTCTCTTTATTAATTTGTTGAAACATACATTTTTAAAAATCATGGCAAAATACACGCACAATTTACTACTTTAACCATGTTTAAGTATAGTTCAGTGGCATTAAATACATTGACTTCATGTGCAACCATCACATCCTCTGATCTCTGTAATCATTCATCACCTCAAACTGAAATATTGTACCCACTAAACATCAACTTCCACCTCCCCCTAGCTCCTTGTAACCACCACTTTATTGTCTCTATGAGTTTGACTATTCCAGGTACCTCATATAAGTGGAATGAGATTATTTGACCTTTTACATTTGACTGACTTCACTTAGTATGTACGTGTTCAAGATGTTTAAGATTGAATAATACTTCTGTGTATATACAGACCATATTTTTTATCCATTCATTGGTCAACAGACACTTGGGTTATTTCAACTTTCAGGGTATCATGAACAACACTGTGATAGATGTACAAATATTTTTCAGAATTCTTGAACTCTTTTATTCATTTATTTTGGGTATATATCCAAAGGTAGAACTGCTGATCACATAATTATGTTTAATTTTTTGAGGAACCACCATATTCTCTTGTACACTGGCAACATCATTTTATATTTCCATCAGCGATACACAAGGGTTTCAATTTCTCCACATCTTTGCCAGCATTTTTATAGCAGCCATCCTAATGGTGTAAAGTGGAATCTCACTGTGGTTTTGATTTGCCTTTCTCTTATGATCAGTGATGCTGAGCACTTTTTCATGTGCTTCTTGGCTGCTTATCTATCTCCTTTGGGGAGAGAACTACTCAAGTTCTTTGCCTATTTTTTAACTGGGTTTCTTTTTTTTGGTTGTTGAGTTGTAGTTCTTTATCTTTTCTGGCTATTAATCCCTATGGGGTGCCCAAACCACAGCTTGCAAGCTGTATGCAGCTCAGGATGGCTATGAATGCCGCCCAACACAAAATTGTCAATTTACTTAAAACGTTAGGAAGTTTTTTTGTGACTATGTGTCACAATGTATTTCATGTGTGGCCCAAGACAACTCTTCTTCCAGTGTAGCCCAGAGATGCCAAAAGGTTGGACAACCCTGCATATGATTTGCAAACATTTTCTCTGTACTAGTTGTCTTTTCATTCTGTTGACAGTGCTCTTTAATGCACAAAACTTTTAAAGTTGATAAAGCCCAATTTATTTTGTTTCCTGTTGTATATACCTCTGGTGTCATAT